GCGGAGCGTGGGCGAGTCGTCACCGCTCCCCGGGAAGAAGAGGCCGCCAACGCCCGCTTGATCAGATCGATGAAGGGGCGGCGTGCCGGGCTTTCGTTCCACGACCAAATGATTTTTTTAGATGGCTGAAAGAACTCCCTGTAAAACTATTATCTTCATTGCTTTTATCATTATTTTCAACAATTAATTTTTTTTTATAATTATAATTATAACTTTCTTTTGATATTGTATTAACTGAAACCAACATGAAAATTGATGTAATACCAATTAGAATTATAAATAATAAAATTATTGTTTTATTTGTTACATTTGACATTTTTTTATTATTTAATTATTTTTTTTTTTATCACTAAAAATATTTTATTTTATAATATATAAAAAAAGGGAAAATTTCTTTTTCTTTCAAAAGTTTGTTTGTTATTTATTTAATAATACACATTTAATAATTATTACTTGTTTAAATAAAAAATAAAAAATAAAAAATAAAAAAAAAAAATAAAAAAAAAAAAAATGGTAAAATATAAAATAAAATATAAAATAAAGAGTAAAATTAAAATAAAAATTAAAATAAAAAAATTGCTGAATAGAAAGTGTTAAAGTTGTCAAAAACATTTAAAAAAAAAATAAATACCTTTAACATTTCAAATTTAGATCAAAAATTATTTTTGTTTATGTTTCCGAAAATAAAAAAAAAAAATTTCATATTAAGGTGGCAACATTACACAAACGATTCATTTAATTTGGTGATAAATCTTTTTATTCTTATAATTTTATTTTTTTTTAATTTTTTTTTTTTTTTAACTGTATCAAACAGAAGGCAGTACCAAAAAAAATCAATTAACTTTCAGACCAAAAAAATATTTGGGGAGGAAGTTAAATTTCTTTGTGCCTTTTTTTTTTAAAATAATTTTTTTTTTTTATTTTTTTTTTTATTTTTTTTTTTGGGGCATTTTCTAAAAAAAATAAAAAATAATTTGGATCTGGGTCTATTTATCTTATTACCTTGCATGATCATATATAATAAAAGTCTTATTTTAACACACAAAAAAATTATTTGATAACTTAAGTGGGGAGAAAAAAAAAAAAAAAAAAAACTAATCGCCACAAACCCCCAAAAAAAAACTGATTGTCACAAACCCCAAAAAAATAACTGATTTTCACAAACCCAAAAAAATTATTTAAAAATTCTCTTATACTAACTTGTTTGATAAAAATTTATTCATTTATTTAATTATTTATTTATATCTCATAGTTTTTTAAATAATTTTTTTTTCTTTTTTAATTTTTTTTTAGATTATTATAATTATGTTTCAATCTTTCAAGAAATGGTTTAATTTAAATAAATAACCAAAATTTGCAACCAATATTCATTTTATTAATAAAAAAAATGTATAGGACCATTTTTGATTTACAATTTTAAATTCATTAAAAAAAAAATGTAGTATTATCTTTTTATAATTGTTTTAAAATAATTTTTTAAAAGAAAAAAAAAGAGTAGAATATAAAAGAAAATAAAAAATCCTAAATAATAGGGATATTGTTATGAATATATGTGCAAACTCTTTGAGTTTTGAAAAGGGTTTAGAAATAAAATAGATCCACATTATGATTAAAATTTTTAAAAGATAAATCTAATATATATAAAATTTAAAATTTAAAATTATAATTATATATAAACACACTCCTTGTGTGTATTTCCACTTTATACACCCCTACATTGAATGACATTTGACTATTTATAGAAATAAAGTCATTTGTCACCCTCCTACATATTTTTTTTATTTCTTTTTAATTACTTTTTTTATTTTGATTTTTAATAATTTAAAAAATATTACTATAAATAGACAATTCTTTTTGAAAAAATAAATCAAATCAATTATTTATAAAACACCCTAAATCAATATAGAAATATTTAAAACAAACTCTTTAAATATATAGAAATAAAAATGTTATTCAGTAAGTTTTAAACCTTTTCAAATTTTAGAAATTTAACACACACTAACCTTTTACTTTTTTTCATTAATTTAGAATCATTAAAAACTATAAAATTTAACAATATCAAAGAAGAAAATAGTATATATCCTGCAGTTGTCCCATTGATAATGGATCAGAGTCATAATGTGGTTACAACCAATGAGTTTAATGGTATTCTAGTTAGATCAAGCTTTAAAAGTACTACAATCAGATTTACCAAACCCTATTTCTTTTTCTAACGATTTAAACTAGTTCATTATTATATATTGTAAATAAAATAACATCGAATTTTTGTAAATAAAGTATTATCTTTTTTTTCTTTTTTTTTACTTTTTTAAAAAACTATTTTTTTTCCTTTTCTTTTTTTTTACTTTTTTTTTTTTTACTTTTTTTTATTTTTTTTATTTTTTTTTTCAATTATTAAAACAATGTTACAAAATTAGAGAATCAATCAATTTTATTTAAAAAAAAATATAAAATATTGATTTCACACTGTTCTTTTCTTTTTTTTTTTATAATTATAAAAAAAATACTAATGTTTGTTTAAATTAATTTTTTTATAAAAAAATTAGTTTTTTGTTATTTTATTTATTGATGCTAAAAATAGAGTAGTCTTTAGTTGTGTTAAAATACTTAATAATTTCACCCCATAATCTCACACATGGATCTCTTTAATTTTTTTTACCCCCAGATTTTTTTGATTGTTTTTTATAAAAAAAAAAAGATATAAATCATTTTTTTTAACCACTAAAACTGCCCCTATAATTTATAACTTTGCTAGGTTCTTTTTTTAGCTGATAATGAAACTGTTTTAAAATAAAAATAAAAATAAATAAAATAACAAAAAATAAAATAAAAAAATAAAAATATAAAACAAAAAAAAATTACAAATAAAAGAAATTATTTTTAAAAATAAATAATAATTGTAATAAAAAAATAAATAAAAAAATGGCGATTTTATCTGTTGTAGTTTCTCTTTTTACATTTTATTGTTTTTATAGTGGTGTAAGATATTTTAAAAGAAAAAACTATTTTATTAGTTTTATTAATTCTTTGTTTTAGTATAAAAAATACAAAAGGGTCCATGAGAGTGAACTGAAAGGTCCATTTCCTTTACCAATCATTGGTAATTTTCATCAAATTTCGAGACTACCACACAGAGATTTAACAAATATGGTTAAAAAATATGGAAATATTTTTAGAGTCTATTTTGGTGATATTTATACTGTTGTTGTATCTGATCCTTTGTTGGTTAGAGAGATGTTTGTAAAGAATGCCGATATATTTCAAGACAGATTAGAAACACCTGTATTTATTATTTAAAAATCAATAATATATTTTAAAAAAACCTATTAATTTAAATTATTTTATTTTAATTAGCTTACAAAACATGGGTCATTATACCACGGAACTACCACAAGCAATGGTGAATATTGGGTAAGAAATAGGGATATAGTTTCTAGGGCAATGAAAAAAACAAATATAAAGCATGTATATGAATTATTGAATGAGGAAATTGACCGAATAGTTACCGTTATGAAAAGAATGAATTCATCTGGTGAGAGTTTTGACCCTAGATATAATTTAACAAAGTTTACCACATGCGCAATGTTTAAATATATTTTTGACGAAGTTTTAACAGATGAAAAAGAGAGCCATGACAAAGTAAAACAAATAATAGACCCAATGGAAAGGTTATTTAAACTAATGGGAGGAGGAAATCTTTTTGATTCTTTGGATATAGGACAACCATTTTATTCACTTTATTTAAAATATACCGAAAAGGACTTTGATAAAATTTTAAATTTTGTTAAAGTTAGATTAAATGAACATATAGAAACCTATAATCCAGACAATACAAGAGATTTGTTGGATGTTTTAATTAAAGAATATGGTGTTGATACCGAAGAGGATAGATTTTCAATAATAACAACATGCGGAGACTTTTTATTTGCAGGTAAATATTTCAATTATATAATTTAAAAAAAAAATTTAATTCATGAATTTAAAAAAAATTATTTTTTAAAATAGGGGTTGAAACTTCAGCAACTGCATTAGAGTATATGCTATTAATGTTAACAAATAGACCAGAAATACAAGATAAAGCATATAGTGAAATCAAACATCATTTGGGCAAAAGAAATAAAGTTTTACTTTCAGATAGAAGTTCCTTAATCTACACCAATGCAGTTATTAAGGAAACACTTAGATTAAAGATGGTTACCGCATTTGGGCTACCCAGAAAATGTTCAGAAGACTGTATGATTGGTGAATATTTTATTCCAAAAAACTCCCAGATATTGGTAAATTTTCATGCTTTGGCAATGAACAAAGATTATTATAGTAATCCAGAGACATTTGATCCATCAAGATTTTTAGGAGATACCAACCAAGCATTCATTCCATTTTCGATAGGTCCACGTTCTTGTGTGTATGTATAGAAAATATATTATTTTTACCACTTTTACTTTTTATTATAAAAAGATGTTTTTATAATATTATTAAAAAAAACTTTGTAAACTATATTAATACAATACATTATATTTTTTAAATAATTATTTATAGTGGGAGCCAGTTTGCCCAAGATGAAATATTCATTTGTTTATCAAATATATTATTAAACTTTAGATTAAAATCAATAGATGGAAATAAAATTGATGAGGAAGAAGTTTATGGATTAACACTAAAACCAAAATCACCATATAAAATTAATTTGGAATTAAGGTAGATAATAAAATATTAGGGGTATAACAAATCTAAGTGTAATAATAATAATAATAAAAAATTATAATAAAATACTATTTGTATACTGTATTATAATAATAAATTATTTTGTATATAAAACAAAATACATATATAAATAAAAAATACACTAGGTTTTAAAAGATTTATTTCTCTTTTAAAATTATTAATATTTAAAATACGAAGTTTTATTTTGTGTATATTGATGGTTTTGAAAAATAAGGAAAAATAAAATCACCAACATCCATTTACAACTATTATTGATGTTGTTCCTCTATTCATATTATAGTGTTGTTGTTGGTTTTATTTAATTATGATAATTAACAAAATTGGTTTTATTTAATTGATAAAAATTTAAAGGAATAAAAAATATTTTAAATCCCACAAGATAACTATTTAATCTGATAATAAAATTAATATTAGTTAAAAATAGTGAGTGTTATAGAAAAAATTTAAAGTGGTTTATGTGGATTTTTTTTTTATATTAATAAATTAAACATAAAAAAAACAATATAATTTCACCATTATCTTTTTATTTAATTTTATTTTTAATATATTCGAATATACTAAAACATAATTCTCGAATAATACAAAAAGGCGTATAAATTAAACACCTCTTCATCAAAAATAAATAGATTAGTTTAAATTATATAAAAAATTAAATAAAAAAAAAAAGGTGGGAAAAAATGACAATATTTTGATAGATCCTTATTGGGAAATAATTTCATTTCTACCATTTTTTATTTTATTTAATTATTTATTTTTTTAACCCTAAAACAGACCAATCTTTTTTTTAAAATATTTAAACAACAAAAAAAACATCAAATTAAATAAAAATTAATTAAAAAATATAATAGTTTTCTATAACTTTATTAAAATAAAATGTTATTCCGTAAGTAAAACACAAAATATAAAATAATATTTAAATGACATCAATATATTAATTTACTTTAAAATTTTATTTTTATTATAGAATCATTAACTAAATCATACCTCAATAATATATCATCAATCAATAGTGTCAATAGTGTTGATGATAATGTAATGGAAGGAAACAATAATACATCACCATTAATTTCCACAAATAACAGTACATCCGTTTCAGTTAAATCTTATATTAAAAACAAAAATATAACTCCAAAAACCTTAATATTTACACGTCCATGTTTCTTATTTTAATTAACCTAAAGAAAAACAAATAAAAAAAAATGAAAAAAAGGTCTTTGGAAGTATCTTTAAAAACAAACTTGTACATATTGTAAATAGAAATAAATAAAATAAATAAAAAGTTTAAGTTCGAAATAAAATATTTAAAATTTTAAAAAATTAAAATGTTACTATACAAATTTACAAAATTATTTACTTTATTAAAAAATAAAAAAAAAAACAATATTATTGTTGTTATTATTATAGTTTTTTAGCGGATCCCATGATTTGGGAACTATATGGTAAACCCAATAAAACTTGTTTTGATTTTTTAGCCATATCTTTGATAGTGTTGATGTATTTCATACCAATAATAAATTGAGTTGGTTCAATGTTATATTCTTTGAGAGCATCACCAATGATTTTAATAGATTCTGCCTCTGCTTGGGCTTGAATAATTTTAGATTCAGCTTGAGCTCTGGCAGAAATAATAAGAACTTGTTGTTTACCTTTTGAAATTGAAATTTGAGCTTGGCAATCACCTTCTGCTTCAGTTTTTGTTTGCTCACGGAAACCTTCTGCAGCAATAATGGTGGCTCTACGTACTCTTTCTGCTGAGATTTGTTTGTGCATGGCTTCTTGAATAGTTGGTGATGGTAAAATTTCTAAAATTTCTACTTTTTCTAATTTAAAACCCCAATTCAAAAAGATGTGGCTAATCTTTAAACTTAATGTTTTATTAATTTCTTCTCTTGATGCCAATGTATCATCCAAACCCATATCACCAATAATTGAACGTAAAGTGGTTTGAATTAATTTTTCGACACATAAAGCTAAATCATAAACTTCATAAACTGCTCTGATTGGATCCACAATACGATAAATTAACATTGGATGAACTTTAATCTTTACATTGTCTCTTGTAATAATTGATTGCAATGGGAAATCCATTAAAGACTCTCTTGTGTCTATACGCTCTATTAACTTTTGTTCTACTTTAAAATTATGTTTACCTGTTGAATAAATATTTGAATCATAATATGTTGTTGTATATCTCCATAATAATGGTTTAATTTTATCTAAAGGACCCAAAATATGTATTCCATAATCGAGCTTTTTATGAAATTTACCCTATTTGAATAATAAAAATATGTTAATATAACTATTATTATTTATTATATTTAACGATTTAATTCTTTATTATTTAACATACACATCTTTCTACAATAACACATGTTCCTTTTTCGACTATAATAATTGAAAATAAATTATATATAAAAATTAAAAGAATTAACCCAACAAAGCCTGCTAAAACGATTAAAGCTATATCAGCTGGTCCCAACATTATATTAATCGTTATAATTTATAAATAATTATTATTATTATTTGTTTAAAAAAAAAAATCTATTTTAAAAATAAAAAAACAAAAAAAATTAAAAAAAAAATTAAAAAATATTTAAAAATAAAAATAAAAAAAATTAAAAAAAAAATTTTCCAAAAAAATGAGTATTTTTCAATAAATCATTAAATTTATTAATTGTAAAAAAAAAACTGGTTGCTATTATAATTTTTAGTATCAAATAATATTTAAAACAAATTAAAATATTTATTTTCAATCTATTTGATTGCCATGCATTTTTAAAAAAATTTTAAGCTTAGATTTAACTTAATCAAAAAACCTATGAGAGCTTTGTGAAAAAAAAAAACTGCACACCTTGTGATCTGCCCTACCACCATTTCATTTCTCATGTTGACCAATGTTTCTAAAAAAAATTATAAAATATTTATAAACTTTGATTCATAAAATCAAAGCAACTATTTCATTGCCAATGTAATTTACCATATTTGTTATTGCAATGAAATAAATTTGCTAATTTAAAAAAAAAAAATTTGCCATATAAAAAATTCCCACATTATATTTTTTTTATATATTTAAATAACTTTTTTGTGGCATTCTATCCTAATTATTACTTTTTGCACTTTGTTCAAGTATTTTTTTAATATAATTATTTGCTACTGTTTTATTATGTATAAAACTACTAATATTTTTACCTTGTTTTTTAATAAATAGTTTATTACTTTTTTTTTATTTTTATTAAACTATAAAATTTTAATTTAAATTTAATAAATTAAAATTTATAATTGAAATTTCCATTTTAATGGTACAGATGAGAAAGATAAATTTGTAATTGAAAGATTTGATTTCATTGAACGTTCAAAAGATTCTTTGACACGATAAGAGAATTGATTAAAACTGAGATCTAAAACTTGAATATAACTATTGGATAAAAGAGCTTCGGCAAAAACATGGCCTGTAGGATCGGTAATTTGGTTTTCATTCAAGTTGAGACGAACTAAATGGGTACCATTATTTTTTAATAAATTTGCTATTGGTAAAGAGCCTTTGTCACCTAAACCTGTATAAGAGAGTTCTAAATGAATCAAAGTTTGATTTGATTTTAAAGACTCTGCTATTAATGTTCCAAATTGAGGTGATAGTTTGTTTTGATTTAAATTTAAAAGTTTTAAGGTTTTATTATCTCTAAGAGCCTCAGCAATATATCTAGCACCTTCGTAATCAATTTGATTACCAGAGATATCTAAAAGTTTTAAACTTGATTTGACACAACCATTTGTAAGTGCACGTGCAATACCCTCAGCAAAACGGTTACCCAATTGATTTGTTGACAATGATAATGAAGTGATGGAACTATTGTGTGAGAATGCCTCTGCCAACTCCCATCCACCAAATTGATCACTAATACGGTTATCTGAAAGATTTAATTTGGTCAAGGTATTATTAATTTGTAATGCACTTGCAATTGAAACAATACAGTTACCAAACTGATTGTTTTTAAAGTTTAAATCTAGCAATGTACTGTTTTTCTTTGATAAAGTTTTACCCAATGCACTAGCGGTACCACTTTTTAAAGCACAATCTGATAAATTAATTTCTGATAAAACTGATGTTGTAGAGTTACCAATGGCCTCAAACAATACCGCACCAGACTGATCATCGATACGATCCAAATGAATGCATTTTAAAGATGAATTTTTCGAAAGTGAGTCACCCAAACACACAGCGCTACTACCAGAGATATGATTCCAACGTATATAAAGTTTCTCTAAGGTCTTATTTGTTTTAAGAGCTTTACAAAGAGCGGCGCCACCTTCTGGACCAATGTTATTGTAAAACAAATCGATGATCTTTAATGATTTATTGTTTAAAAGAACTTGAGCCAATTTAATTGCAGATGCATCAGCCAACTTATTACCACGGAAATCTATATTCTCTATTGTAGTGTTGTCTGATAAAGCAGAGATAACTGATTCGATTGAACTATCCTCTAAATTACTATGACGGAACGATAAATGGGTGATGGTATTATTTAAACGTAAACAATTTGCAATTGCATTGAAATTCTCTGGTGAAACCCATTTTTGATAAAATCTAAAATATTGCATATATTTGGATGCCTCAAAGAACTCTGTGAATAAATTTTTGCTGAACGAATTTGATAAGATGGGTTTGGTGGTTGCTTTTAAAAATTTCTCTGGAACACGATCTGGCATTGTATGTTTGACTATATTCATAAACTTTTGATAGGTTGAAGATTTATCGAGAATCATTGCGACATAATTAAACTTAAACTTTTTTCCTCCTGCGATAAGACCTTGACTACTAAGAGATATTAATGAACGCAAATGCTTTGGTGATTTTACAATAAAGAAATTGAATACTTGTGGTGAAATTTTACATCCCCATAATTTGCAAACTAATGATATATTTTCTAATTCTAAATTTGGGTTTAATTTTTTAGATGATGTTGATGATGTTAATGGTGTTGATTGTTCACCACTAAAAGTTAAACTATTATTATTGTTGTTATTGTTATTATTGCTAGTTGTAGAACCTGTTGATGATGTACCAATTGATGTTGAAAGTTCTTCTGGTGATCTATCAAATCTAATTTCAGATTTCTCTAAATCAACTTTGTTTTGAATTAAATAATACAATATTTGAGTGATAATTGTGTGGGGTAAATTATTAATGTTGAGTTTGTCATCTGATTTATAAAATGTTTTACTAATTGATTTCTTTAATAAACCTTCTTGATTATCTATATCTTTTTTCTTTTCTTTCTTTTTTGATTCTTTTAATTCTTTTGTTGAATCTTTAGGTGATGATGGTGGAGATATTTCCTCTTCAAAATTAATTGCCTTTGATAAGTCAATATTTCTATTACGATGTAAATGATGATGGTGATGATGCTTTTCCTTTTCTTTTTCCTTTTCCTTTTCTTTTTCCCTTTCTTTTTCCTTTTCTTTTTCCTTTTCTTTTTCCTTTTCTTTTTCCTTTTCTTTTTCCTTTTCTTTTTCCTTTTCCTTTTCTTTTCTTTCTTTTTTTTCTCTTTTTTCTCTATCTTTATCTTTTTCTTTTTCTTCTTTATCGCTGCCACTATCCTCCAGTGACAATTCATTTAATTCGTTCAAAGCTTTCTTTTCTTTTTTCTTTCCTTTCTTTTTATTTGGTGAATGAAAAGCTGATGCTATAAATGCCAATGGTGATGATGACCTTCTTTGTTTTCCATGCAATGGCGATGCTAATGTTGGAGATTTATTAACGTTATTAGTGTTATTATTATTATTGTTATTATTATTTTGATTAATTTCATTATCAATTGACGACGATAAACCGCTACCACCACCATATGGTTGTGGTATTAACTCTTGATTATCTATTAATATTTTTGGTGGGGATGGGCATTCATTATTAATACTGCTATTTGTGCTACTGATATTACTATTACTATGATAACTACTATTACTGCTTGTGTCTTCGAAATTATTTGTATTTTCTTTTGATTTACTTATAATTTTTGGTGGTGTGTCACTCATTTTTAAATATTATTTTGATTGTTATATTATAATTTACAAAAAAAAAAAATGTACATTTATTGGTTTATTATTATTTCTATAAAAAAAAAAAAAATTATTTACAAAATTTACAATTAAAAAAATAGTAAATACTATTAAAAAAAAAATATATTTAATTAATATTATATAATATAAAATATTAAAAATAAAATAAAAAAAAATTGTATTAGTATCAAATGTGATAGAATTATCTTTAATATTATTTATTTTTTTATTATTATGATTATTATTATTATAATAATTATAAATACAAACTCTTATTTCTATTGCTTTTTTTTTTTTTAAAAAATTTAAAAATAATTTTAAAAATAATAAAATTTAATAATTTTTATAAAAAAAAATCTAAATAGGAAATAGTGTGTTGGGGTATAGGAATGTAAGAATTTTGTTGGAGTGTAAGGGTGTATATATAATGTATAAACTAAACCCAATTAAGTATATGAGGGTTTATGTTTAGTGGCAATGGGGTAGGCGGAACTACGAATATAAAAAAAAACCTACGGCGGTATATATTTTCTAAACTAAAAAAATATGTAAACTTGAACCCTGAAACATGAAACCTGTCCCAATTCCCAAAAATAAAAAAAAAATAAAAAAATTTATTCAAAAAAAAAAAATATAAATAATTTTTTTTAAAAATAAAAAAAAAAAAAACAATTTAAAAAAATAATTATAAAGGTTATAACTTTCAATGAAATGGAAAAAAAAAAAAATTTTAAAAAAAAAATTCACAAAAAAGAAAATATAATAATTATGGTAATACCATTCCTTTGAAATGGAAAAATGATA